CTCATAACCTATATAGGTCGCTAGTAGGAGATGTATCAATCTTTGACTGCTAAATAGAACCAAAAAGGCAAGACTAACACACTTGGGGGTATTCTATATATTACCTTGACAATAAAAGCAAATCTAGTCCAAAAGCGGAACTCAGCAAAAATGTCAAATTCAAAAAGACTTGAGACAGCTCTAAAAAGCATTTCCTTAAAAAAGAAAAAAGAAGACAAGCAAGTCGAATAAAATGCCACAGGACGTAATATGACAGCTATTACTAGGGATTCAAATGCCGTAATAAAAGACTTCTGTTTGAGATTGCTCCATTAAAAATTTAAAGATTGAACAAAAGACTAAAATGCACCGTTAATATTTCCATCCAAATTTATTGTTAGTGAGACTCACATGCCTATCTGAGAGTGGATAAGTATAAATCATTTTTGACAACACAAATACCCTTACAAATTATTTACAATCTCAAAAAATGCCACATTCTTCTGCCTATCGTCTGAACCAAAAATCAGCCTACACATCTATTCTTCTTATGAATCATCTAAACTTACACTCATTCTTATGCATTTATGATCTTAGTAAAAAAAAACAATAAATGAAAATGAGATAGTATCCTGTCAAAATGGACTGTCATTGAATGGAGGAATTTGACCACTGTAACTATATCAAGCAACTCAGGCACCACAATTAGTTCGAATTTCAAATCGATTTGAATTTGGCTCAAGATGATTGAGTTGTGGTAATCGACTTGGTGATTGGGGGCGGCAGCAGGACATCGCAGCCCAAGACACCATCACCCACCACCAAAATTAACCACAAAGCAGCACAGCCAACATCATGGCACCTGCAGCCAGTGGAATCAACCAAGCACAGCTTACACAACCAATCAACTAGCCGCATCACCTCAAACACAAACGTAGCCACCACAGACGAAGGTATCATTAATTTCAGTATAGCAAAGAGTCCTTGACAGAGCTGCCAGAGAAACTTTGAGGCGACACAAAACAGATTTGCCAAGAGGGACACTCCAAAAGCAATCAGAGAGATTAATAGAGAGGGACATCAATAATGTTGTATAGAATCTATTCAATCCAAACCGTTCAGATCACCATCGAACAACCTCTAAGAGGTGCTCACAATTCTGTATTCTTTTCAACTTTCAGCANCTAACTGTTCAGATCATCATCGAACAACCTCTAAGAGGTGCTCACAATTCTGTATTCTTTTCAACTTTCAGCAAGTGGAACTCGGGATCCATATGTGGCATTCATATGTTACATGACAATGTTGATTAGCTCATCCCAACCTGAGTTCAGCCAGTTGTGGTCACAAAAGTTAGTACTTAAAGCCCACCAGACTAGTAAAATTTTACTTTATTCAATTTCCTGCATTGGTATGCTCGGGGCACTCTGTGAGACGTGCTAAGGGGGTGGTGTTGGTAGGCATAAAGGTTATTTATTGTTTCGTGGCCCCACAGCTCACATGTTCTAGGCCTGACTGGCCTAATAAAACAAGTAATCTATCATTGGCTTATATGGTTATTCAAGAGATGAGGGGTAATATTGTACTTTCATAGACTGCCTTTAATACAAAGACAAGAGTGTAGGAATGTGTAATAATTTAGACCAAACCCCTATTCTATGTTACACCCATTTCTTTCGTTTCTTTGTGGCTACTCTATATTATTTCATTCTCTTCTTCTAGCATAAACCTAAAGTTTACAATCAATTGCCACATCTTGCAAAAGCTCACAAAAACCATATTGATCCTAAGCTGAGACAAGTGAATCTTAACAGGGTAACTACTAACAAACAATTATAGAAGCACAGAGTCTTTCATAAAAATATCATTAAAACTATGAAGTTGGTAGGATGGAAAAAAATAAAAGAGAAGACTTCTCTGAGCAACTTCTACCAAGTAGTTGTTTACAGTTAGTCTTCTACAAAAACTATGTGATACTGACATAATTATGGCAGTGATTACATTAATTTTTAATGATTAGACTGAAAGAAAAGAGAAGAAAAAAAACTTCGTACTAGAATTGCTCGAAAAAATAGCACCAATCAATTTAGTTTGATAGAGTTTATTTCTAAATTTTTTTTCGAGTCTTTAATTGATAATCCTTTCATTCCTTTTTTAGAGCCATTTTGAAGATTTGTAGGGCGAAGGTGCCTTAAAGGTGCATGTTTGTGCATATATAATTTCTCATGCAAAGATTAGTACTAATAAGGTTTTACACAAGAGGAGACCGAATCATTGCCTGCAACCACAACCGCTATAGTGTTATGTGTAGATGTGAAAATGAGAATGTTGATCACCTTTTTTTTTTGCATTGTCCTTTGGCACGAACATTTTGGAAGAAGCTTTTTGATCTTGGGGCTTTTCTTGGGTTGCTCCAAGGACTATAGTTTCTATGTTTTGCATGGACAATGTTATGTTGGATTTGAAGGGAATCGTAGATGGAAGACTATTTGAAAAAGTGCCTTCAAACTACACTGTGGGTGATTTAGAAGAAAAGGAATGNAAAGATCCGAACCACAGAGAGTTAGGGATAGAGAGAGAAAAAGGGGGAGGGGGGCATTTCATTCTATTTTTTCATTGAATTTGTGATCATCGTCGCCTCTAATCTTAATAAGCACAAGAAAAAAATTAATTATTTTTATTTTTCATTCACCTTACCGAACACAAAAAAAAATATCATTCATACTTTTTTTTCCTCAAATTTTTTATTCTTATAATTTTTTATCCTTCTTACAAAATAGAGCAAAAAGAGAATAAAATATAATAAGGCGCACAGGACAGGACGGGAAAGAAAGAAAAAAAATTTAATTTTGTGAATATAAAGAGGTAAAAACAAAAAAAAGACTTACTTTGTACATTCTGTTTTCTCAATGTTTTGAATCGGTAATANATTTTGCTAAATTCGTAATTTTGGGCCTCATGACTGCAATTGCATGCAACTCACTCCCAAGCAGCCAACCACTCATGGACCCTAATGTCTTAGGTAGATAAATTCCAATTTGCTCAAAGGCTATAGAAAGTTATTAACTGACCTCCATCTTCCTTTCAGTCGCTTGTTTTCTTGACATAATTAAAAAGCTTATTATGGCTGCAGCAACTGCTTTTCCTCAGAACATGTTGGACCTTGAAATTCCGTTTGCCTTCTAGAGCTACAGCACCTTCAGGAGGGAAAACTATGCAAGCGTAAGCATCCAAAAATTCGCTCTTTCATAACAATCAACAACTTAGTAAAATGGAAAATCACTTCCAAAGGGTTGGTTCATCACCTGGAGCAGCAGCAAGGATATATAAGTAAAATCACTTAAGACTAGCGTGCAACAACAAACTAGCTTTCGAAACCAGTACTATTATTATGTTAACTTCCCATCCACAGTCTAGCTACATTAATTATTAACAATATGCATGGAGAATTATTAGCAGACAACGGTTAGTCTGTTATTCTCATCCATCTTTGGTGTATACAAAAATTTATGGCTCAAAGCTGTTAGATATTAACAACTGTTAGTTATCTACAGAAATTAGATCAGTTGATCTCAAATAATAATTGTCAAATATCAATCAAATCCAATATGAGGCACTTAAATGGTAAGATAAATATAATTCAACTCCTGAGGGAAAATCTAAGCCCAAGACAGTTACTGCCAGTAATATTGGACAAACCCTATAAAAATTCCGAAAGGATACTTAAACAAACTAATAAGGAAACACCAGAAATATTGAATTACTCACAGTTAACACTCCATCTGAACGCAAATCTTTCTCATTAAACCAGAAACATATGGATCAATTTCATGCAATGTATTTCTGATGTACAAACTACATTGATCATGTATTAATGAAATAACATCAGTACCAGTAACTTGAACAAGAGGAACTGCCACATAAATGCTGTTGCAGTGCAAGCATGTTGAATATTGCACAATTACTTCGGCACGAAAAATATAGAATGCATAGAGGCCCATCATATTCTACCCATTCCCAGACCCCAGTTAACCAAAAGAAAGCTGGAAAGCTGGACTAAAGAACAATCTCAAAGGGTTTTCAAATTGTCATTGAGTCGGCAACAACCAAATGCATTTTATGTATCAAAATAAGTTGACACAATCAAACCTCACATTACCTGAGGTACGGCATTGTTATTCAATCCACAATTGTCCGTTGCATGATTCTGAATTCCAGTCTCTGAAAATGAGAGAAGGGAAAATGTGAACAAGAGCAGCCTAATCCGTAAGCATAATTTGAAGAATTAATCCAACAATTTAATTACCTTCCCATCACATAAAAAGAAGAGTTCAGCAAGCATAAACCACTGGAAGAAGTTAAACGAGAAAAATAAAACAGTGGTAACATTAGTGTAGACGAATGGATCACAGTGTTGGTTTACCGAGGACGATGAACTAAGACAGAAGTGTCCCACACTCACAGAACGACATCGTCTTTGTTCACTGCACAAACAAACGCTCTGGTACAAAACCACTGATTCAGTCCCATACTAACAAGCGTTTAGGTACGCAATCACCCGCATCTCCGTCCTCATTACACTAACATGCGCCGCCACAACAAAACCCTAATCGCCCAGAAGTGAGAACAAGAACGCAAAACATGTCAAATTACGGGTGTGTGTGCATGTGAGTGAGAGGGAGAGCGCTAAAATGCGCAGGGTGCAACATCAATTTCAAACTCTAATTCGTCTCAGATTGGATTGAACAAATCACTACAAATCAAGCAATGCTTGAAAACCCTAGAAAACAGAAAGAAAAGGAAAATCTGAAGAAAAATAAAAATTAGTAACCGATACTATCATTTTTCAAGGGCAAAACAAGAAAATACACCCAAAGATATATAAATTTACAGCACTACCCCTACAGACAAACTCGACCCTCACTTCTTTCCTTTCTTCACGGTAGCTTTCTTCACGATAGCTTTCTTCACAGGCGTCTTCTTCACTGTCTTCGGCTTCACGCTCTTCGCCGGAGCCTTCTTCACGGCTGCTTTCTTTGGCGCCGGCTTAGGAGCGGCGNCTTCACTGTCTTCGGCTTCACGCTCTTCGCCGGAGCCTTCTTCACGGCTGCTTTCTTTGGCGCCGGCTTAGGAGCGGCGGCTCTCTTCCCCGGAGATGTCCGAGTCGAAGTCCTCGCAACCTTAGCCGGCGTCGCCTTTGGCTTCGGCTTTGTCATCGCCCCTGGCTTCGCAGCAGCTTTTGTCCTGGCTGCGGGCTTTGGCTTTATCACAGTAGACTTCGGCTTAGAAGTCGGTTTGGCTTTCGCAGCTGGCTTTGGCTTAACAGCAGCTTTAGCCTTCGGAGGAGAAGCTTTTGATTTAGCAGGAGCTTTTTTCACGTTTGTGGGCTTTGCAGCCTTGGGTTTTGCTGCCGGGGTCACCTTCTTCTTCGCAGGGGCGGTGGAGACTTTGGGAACAGAAGGCCTAGTCACNGGAGAAGCTTTTGATTTAGCAGGAGCTTTTTTCACGTTTGTGGGCTTTGCAGCCTTGGGTTTTGCTGCCGGAGTCACCTTCTTCTTCGCAGGGGCGGTGGAGACTTTGGGAACAGAAGGCCTAGTCACTGGAAGCTTGAACGAGCCCTTGACCTTCACGATCTTACCAGCGGCGACAAACTTCTTCAATTGAGTCAACAACAACTTTTTGAAGTTGGGTGCAAGGTTCTTGTGCTTCTCTTCGGTGAACTTCGCAATCGCATACTGACTCGATCCAGTCTTCTCTTTCAAAGTCACAATCGCCTCTTGAATCATCTACACAAACGCACCAGAATTATGATCCCAAATTCAGATAGCAAACCCCAGACCAAAAGAACCGAAAAACAAAAAACAAAAAACAAACAACAGAAATAGCGGTGATACCTCGAAGTAGGGTGGATGAGAAGGAGAGATTTTGGATTTCTTTGGAGCGGCGGGTTTCTTAGCTTTAGGCTCTTTCACCTTCTTCGACTTTCCGGACTTCGCCGCTGGCTTGTCATCTGTGGCCGGTTCAGTTGTCGCCGGCTCCGGAGCGGTCACGACTGCCAAAACTGCTTCTTCAGTGGCCATTAGTGTATCTCGAAACTAGGGTTTGGATTAAACTGAGAGAGAGAGATAGGGATTAGATCTAAATCTACACAATCCACTGGTACTTCACGTTGGTGTGAGATGACGATGCAAATGGGGCGGATATAAATAGTAATAGTCTGAGAGGCTTATTCCAAAATCTGAGCGCTGATTGGTGGAAAGGCCCTTCACGCGGATCAATCCCTTGAGAAAATTTTAAACTTGGACCGTGGGATTAGACTTTATCCACGGTTGACAACGATAGATAAGTGAGGAATGTGTGGGTTGCTTATGAAAGTTGAATGGTTAGGCAACATTTGGTGTGTTTTTATGCTCAATTGATCTGGTCATAACTTGAGCTACACTGAATGGATTTCAATGAATTTTTTTTTTATTTTGTAGGGAATTTTGTAAGCTTTCTGGAGAGTATTCACTTGAGTTGTGAGGATAGAGGGTTTGGGAGATATTTGGTTTGAAAGCATAAGTGGTCGGGAAAGGGGTACGAGTGGAGTTTATTAGGGTTTTGAAGCATCTTAGGAGAATGTTGGAAACTAACATCCCAGTTTATCTTCTGATATGATTGTAGCTTAATAAATGAATCCGTAGAATCAAAAAAAACCCAAATCCGATAAGATTTGAGTATAAAACTATTAGGTTGAATGTTACTAAAGATNAGAATCACCCAAATCCGATAAGATTTGAGTATAAAACTATTAGGTTGAATGTTACTAAAGATGAACATGTTTAACAAATGTGTAAAAATGTAATGCAATACATTTGAATACACTTTGTAACTGAAGAAATATTTCCAAGTAAATAATCACACTTACAACCAACTCAAAACATGAACTCTTTAACCGTAGGATTCAAGGTTGAATAATTAATATAGCAATTTTCCTGAGTATTTTTTCCAAAAAGTCAATTTTACCTGAGTATGATAACATAGTACTTATTAGTTGCATGGTGAGTATGGCATGGAAATGGTTCATCGTTCCATCCTCTTATTATCTACTTTTTGTTTCACACTGTTCAAGCATATGAGATCTCGTGCACAAGATTATGCATTGCAATCTTCACATGTAATATGATACGGATGCATAGCAATATGATAACTATTCATTTCTTCTACATCTACGTGTAAAGATCTTAAGAAATAGAATACCTAAGACATACAAGATTGCTAGTACAAACTAGGTGATTTAGCTTATAACTAAATAAAATTGATGCTCTAAACATTTTTTTTAAGTATATGTTACATAGCGACCTCTTGTTGATATTGATACCATAAAAGCAAATGCTATACTATATTTGTGTTTCCAATGGATAATATATGCAACTTTGTGACATTAAAAGTCATATAACATAAATAGTTGTTCATATACATGCATTTAATTGTTATAACATGTACGTGTGATTCCATATTAGTTATAACATGTTCAGTTTGGTTACTACGCACAAAATCCATGACGGTAGATGTGTTACAAGACTATAGCAACCCAAAGCCATCCCATTACATTTTTTTTAAGCCCAAGTGATTACAACAATCATGCACCTAATCAATTCCCTGGATTAAAGAATTCCATTGAACAAAATTGTTGTGATCATTATCCCAAAAAAACATGCCTTTGAAATTGTTTTATGGCAATTCATATTGCTGCGTTTGTGTGACGTATAACACAACAATAACAACTTCTTGGCTTAATAAACAAGAAAAATCTTTGAGCATCACCATATGGTTGAAACTTAGGATGATCTTCAATTGTTTATTTCAACTAATCACTCCCACTTAGCAATTAACAATGAGCCCTACACATCTTCTTGCCAAATAAATACTACTAAATTAAAAGTCTTATGGTCATATGTCAATTGGCATGTCACATATAGGTTTTACTTAAGGTTTCACAAATAAAAGATCACCTAGAAATGATATATATGAAAATTTCTTCATTGTATGTTCAACTTTCTGGATAACAACTATTGGAATCATGCAGTTAGTAATCGGCTAGGAAAGTAAAACCACATATATGTAATACGTGAATGCATACCATTACTATGGGAGTAAGTAGCACAATTTTAATAATCGCAATGACTATAGAGTAACATGGAAACTTGTAAATGCTAAAAACTCTTATCACTTTCAACCCCCTCCCAAAAAACACACATGCACCAACACATACATATGCATATGTTTTTTAATGTCACAATACCAATAAGGAAACCGGATTATTGATTTGACCAAATTGGTAATTGTGTAATTAATTAGTCAAACATTTTCTTACTAGTAACTCTTTAGCGCGTTATTAGTTGGGTTTATACTACAAATCTTTTGACTGGTTTTGTTAGTCGCCCTCCAAAATATATGATTTTACCTTTCTCATTGGATGTTGTAATAGTATACTCAATGATGTGTTATAGTGGTTTACTACAAAACACAATATGCAACAAATAATAAAACGACACAAAACTATATCATTTCACCAGATGGTCGAATAATCAATGAAGACAGACAAACTGCAGAACTTCAGGTAAAAATTCGAACACACAACAATATGCAAATAGTTTAACATAAGGTTGGAATATACACAGGGAAAGACATATACACATCACAACATGCAAATTATTCCACTCTAAGTTTTTAAAAACAGTAAGTGTTCCATGCATATGTGTGAATATACTTAACTCAGAAAAACCTTATTCCAACCATTTGTGATCTGCTACAAGAATCATGCTCCTTCATTGTGCTCTCTCAAGAGTCATTTTTGTTGTTAAAACTCAAACTATCATATTTTTTTTTTATCATAACATTCACATTTAATTTCGGTTTATCCTTACATCTTACATTAGTAAGCGTAGGTATCACATCATTGTTCCTTATTGAGACAATGCAAGTGTTTTTCTAAACCATCAGCTATATTGTCTAACTCTTAGTTTATCCTGTACCAATGCTACTTTTATTGTTTCATCAATATGTATACTTAGTTTTTGATATGTTATTCTTCAATTTAGTGAGTAACATCAAATTATTAATTATCTTCTTTCTAGTTGATAATTGGCATGTATATGTGCATGTACACTGTATAACTCTTCCCCTGTAAGGCCCATCACTAACCCCTCTAATCCGTGTCCAGGCACCCGTGACCATTCTCTACCTTAAACAACCCCTATATCCTACAAATCCCAAGCCCGCAATATCACCACTACAAGAAAATATAGTTTTTGAGTTGACAATTTGCCGACGCAAATAGTTTGCCTACCGACACAAAAAGTATTTGCTTCAACAATCATACTATTTGAATCAATAAATAGAGGAATGCAAATAATGGGTGATGCAAAAAGTTTGCGCTCTATTTGTCGATGCAAAAAAGTATTAGTGTTAGAAAATAGCCGACGCAAAAAAATTAAGGCAAAAGAATAGTTGGCGTCAATTTTTTGCGTCGGTAGCTTTTATTGAGGCAAAAAATATATTCTTTTGCGTTGGCAAAATGCCGAAGCAAATAATTTATTTTTGCATCAACAGGTTGCCTACACAAATAGTCATTTTTTTTTCCTTCAGCAGGTCTTCTGTGTAATTTTTGCCATTTTAAATATTCATCTTTGCTACAACCATTTGTCGATGCAAATACTCCCCTAAAAGAAAAAAAAATTAGACCTGAAACTATACATGCATAATTGTACACATTTTCTGTAGACTTTAACTACCACTGAATAAATAAATAAACAACTACAAATTATAAACATAGATTATTCATAACTATGGATAAAAAAATATTTCAATATCATAAAAAGAAAAAACAATCGTTACAAATACATGATAGCAGAAGTTTTCATAAACATAAAAAATTCAAAAAATACTTATCAAATGTATTAATACATAATTGAACCAAAAACAAATGCTCTCCTAATCACCGAAAAAATTTGCATGATTCATTCTCTCTTTTGTAGTTCCGTCTACTTTCTCTGGATGCATGATCCATTCTCTCATCAATCCCTGCAACAAAAAAATACAAATTTTGTTATTATTACAGCCAATGTTAGAGGAACCTCTCCCCATAAACCTCTAGACACCACCTCGGTACAACATTTAAACTAAGGCTACAACAACTCCAGCAGCTATAAAAGCATGGTCAAGCTTATGTACATTACACCAATGCAATGTCGTTTTATATCAAAAGAACATGATTATCACCACCAGATAATCAATCAACCAACCAAAAATAACCAATTTAACACAAGAATCGCCTTTATTCCTGCTAAAAGAAAGAAAACGAAAATAGCTCATCCCTCCTTTAGCCCTCATTACTGAACAGACAAAGATGGACACGTCTTTTTTCTACTTACATCCATAAATAGACTGCAAAATAAAAAGGAAATACATAATCTTTATTTTGGGTCACGATAAAAAGGCAATAATTTCAAAATTGATTCGATGTTTACAACATCTTGCCTTTAAGAAGAGGATGGGTCTTGATCAGATTGAAAAATGAGCAAAAACGACACCTACGAAAAATAAAAGCATGGGTCCTGCAAATATGCAAGTATTGAATATACTTATAGACATAAATGATGGAATTTTATATCAGCATGTCAAATGTAGTAGAAAATGGAGTTTCAAAACGAATAAGAAACAAAAATCTCCATGGGGAGCTGTGGGGGTTTGTGTTTAAAAGTGTCATACATTATTTTGGTTTCCATTTCATTATTGAGTTTTTTATGTAACTTTAAGGAGATTTTGGCATTAGTTGCAATTATGGACGCAAAATAATTTAAAAATTCAACTTTTTTGCATCGGTTTTAATGCTGACGCAAATATTCTCTTTTTTGCTTCATCCATTAGTTTCGAAGCAAAAATAAAATATTTGCATCAACATTCGAGCCAACACAAAAAATTCTGAAACAAAAACCTGTTTTTCTTGAAGTGCACCCAACTTTGGAATAAAACATAATGCCCCCTAACCTCAAAATAACTAATTTTCAACCCTCAGCTCGAAGAAACTCATGTTTCA